TACTTTTAGCGGAAAAACTGCATTTGTGTTGAGGTCATGTGACATCAATTTCTGCGCTAAATTTAGTGGGAAACTTAACCAGCTAAATTTAGTGGGGAAATTTTCCCGCTAAATTCAGGGAAGTTTCCTGCTAAATGGGAGGGAGCAGAAGGGGAGGAGGGGGAGGGGGAGGAGGGGCATACCTTCCCATCCTCCTCTTCAAGATCTGTGCTCTAATTTCACGTTACAGAGAATTGTAAACGTCTCATATTTCATCTCATGTTTATTCAACTTTTATATTGCAGGTGCGCTCACAGCACAAATCTGGGTTGTGCTGATCCTCTACGCACAAGTTAGGAACTCCTGAGTGGCAAGAGTGGGAGTTTGGTCTGACAGCTCAAGGGACACCATTGTTCAGTATTGAATTTTTAATAATCTTCTTTTAAGCAAAGTTAAGCTTTGCTGCATGCAGTTCTTGTAAAAATAAATACCTGCAACCAAATTTACCAGGTCACGACATTTCGCCTCTGCTCTTAGTGGTCCTGGTGAGCCTCGGATAAGAGCTTACTGGTGTGCAGACACCATGCTTGTTTGAAACCACTCATTGATGTAGAGACTCGCTGACATCCAGCATTCCAATGAAACGCTGGATGTCCACAAGTCTTTCTTGAACAATGCAAGCGGGGAAGGAACCATACAATCGTATCGTATTGGGGGACATTCTACAGAGTTTTTTTTCTATGTTTTACAGATTTTAAAAAAAAAAAGCCGTAAAAGCTACATTTACGCGGTCTGTGCACGTGAGTTATATGGCCAGGGCGGCATAGTATAAAAGGCTAATTTGTAATGATCCGTCGGCTTATTACAGAGATATGCCAGACTTCTTTCAGAAAACTAGATGAAGGTTCATTCTAGCGTAGTTTTATCCCGCGAATCTGAATATCCCGTTCGTTTTCCTCAAAGATATAACTAAACGTGAGAAAACACAAAAAACATCCCACCAACAGTGACATCGTAAGAAGACCTTTCGGCCGCCAAGCGTGTGTCGCTTAAGGGCCGCGCGTCCAATCGCAAGTTTTCTAGGTATATTCTCCGGCACTGGCACCAGTCGTGACACATTTTTCTGCCCTTTTAAAAAATAGCACGTGCGTGCATAGCTTTGATAGGCGCTGAAGATGCGTGAACAAAGATTTTGAAAGCTGCTGTTGTGACGTCGCTCTCTAGGGAGGTGCTTTCACAGCGCTTTAAAAATGACTATGCAGCCTTGATTAATTAAATTAGTAAATAATTTTGATATTTGAGATTCTCGAGGTCGAATGAAGAAGATTTAAAAGTGTTTTCTCAAATACAAAACTGCTTCAGCCTCTCTCTAAGTATAGTAAGTTCGTGAAATTTTTAATCAGTGAAAATAGACCCATGGTTCCAATTAGAAACCTGCTAAGCATCATCAAAACACACTAAATCAATTTTCTTTGTAAAGATAGACGAGTAGCATTATAGGGCGTTATAAAAAAATGGTCAATTTGGACGCATTTCCAGACTTCGGTTTCTTACCAGAGCGCATCTTTGCACCTGCGGTCCAGCTGCCCGGTGACCGCAGTGCAAAGCCGCCCCCTCGCCTCCCTCGTAGGATGAAGGGAAGCAAGGCGCATGTGTGTTGCGTGTCTATGCCCCTGGGGAACAGGACCGTGGGCGCAGAGATGAGCTCTGATAAGAAACTGAAACCTAGAAACTCGTCCAAATAAAGCTTTTTACAGAATGCATAAAACGCTACCCCTGAATTATATCCTTCTAAAAAAAACTTGATTTTGTGGTTTTCAATGACTCAGCAAGTTTCTAATTGAAACCATATTTTCATTTTCACTAATTAAAAAGTTGATTAACAAATTGTATTTAATTATCTGACTGATCGTTACGACTAGGTCCCTATACTACGTACGCCTGGCCGTATAACTCGCCTGCACAAACCGCATTAATATAGCTTTCACGACCTTTCTAAACATATATGTAAAGCTTGAAACTAAATCGCCCTGTACAACAGTGAAAAGGCGAAACCAACACGCTGGAGCCATATGGCTCCACCATGCTGGTATCGCCTTTTTGCTGGTATAGGATGTCCCATATTACGTTATGCATGTATGGTTCCGTCCGCCTACATGGTTCCGCCTATATCCACTACGCTGGTATAGGATGTCCCATAATACGACACGCTTGTATGGTTCCGCCCACCTGTATCGTTCCGCCTTATTCCACTATACTGGAGCCGCCTTTTTCGCTTGTATAGGATGTCCCATATTACGGTTACGCTTGTATGAGCCTTTTCCGTCATCTTTCCATCATCGAGATTTTCCAACAGGGATTACGCACGCTAGGAATAATGTCTCGCTTAAGTAGATCATTTATGACTCATTACTGTCTTTTGAGAGTATACAGTACGCATGTGCGTTCGAAACTAGAATTTGCATCTGTAGTGTGGAACTGCATATTTATAACAGCAAGTGAAAGTATAGAACATGTACAAAAGCAATTTCTGCGCACCATTTACGACAGATATTTTGGAAGAAAGTGTTTTTATGAATGTAATATGATTTTAGCAAAATTAACATTGGGTACCTTATGTAAAAGAAGGTTTAGTTTTTACATAGGCTAATTCATAATGCAATAGACAGCCTTACTCTCCCCAACAGTGTTCACTTTCGCATTCCACTTAGAACAAACTCTAGAAATGCAAGAGCATTTTACCCTGACCTCATTCGAAACGCATCACCGGTTTCGCGTATCAAACATGTTTTAAACACTCAATTTACTGACGTCGATATTTTTAGTGCAAACCTGTCTTTTGGAGAATGATCAATTTGATGCATGTGTTTTTAATTGGCATATATACATGTTTATGTGCTTGCATGTTTTTTTCACAACTCTTTATTTTGTCAACTCTCTATTTTGTGTGTATTTCAAGTGTGTGTGCTTAACCCAGTGGGCTTTCGAGCTGTTGGTTAGCATAAGAAAAAAATAAACATTGATTGATTGATTCATTGATTGATATGATAGCTCTTCTTGTTCGCTTTTAAGTCTATAAAACGGTCTTGTGCAATCCATTGTCTATGTAAATTACTCTTCGTATAGTGGCTACTTTTATCTTTTCATTTTTGTATACCCACTCCTGCAATAGCCTCATGGGCTGACAGTATCAATAAATGAAATCAAATGAATAGACGCACGATTGTTCCAGCGAGCGCACAGCTTCCACCGCGCTCTCAACTTGAGTGCCAACGGAGTATAGCAGCCTATTAAACGCCGAAATGCATAAAATACGAGCCTATAGTCAGGACCCGAAGTCGGTTATAACGAAATAGCGGATATACCGAAGTGATTTCCGATTCCCGTTGACTTTGTTATAACCGGTCTTGGCATAGCTTGCCTTCCCGAAGCGTTGGTTGTTCGCTCGGAGGCTTTGCTCGGGCGTTACTTCGCGAATGACCAGGTCGTGTGGTCGCAGCTGCCAACCTGCGCTTTACGTTTACAGTACAGTAATTCTACGGTGATGTATACACGAAGTTCTCGAGAAACGAGAGCCACGTTTTTCTGCCCTGGTAAATTAACAATGCATCGCACAAAGCCCAAACTCTGTGAGAATGTGACGCTAGCGGTTAGATAGAACGTGACGTTACTTGGATAAAAAGATAAGGGCGAAAAATGGAATTTTTCTATACAGTCAGTAGCGTGCTTCACAGGGGAGGGGGGGGGGGCGCTTTGGGTGCAGTTCTCAGGGGGGTGCAGCTGGGCAGTGAAAGGGGGGGTCGCGGCGGGCCACGAGAGCGGGAGAGGGGGGATGTCACCGGGGAACTTGATTCCGCTCAATTTAGCGGGGGAGTGAATAGGTCACGTGAAGTCAATTTTCCGATACATTTAGCGACCACCTGATTCCGCTAAGTCAATTTTCCGCTAAATTTAGCTGGGAACCTGAATGGATGCATAAGTCACGTGAAGTCAATTTCTCACTAGATTTAGTGACAAATTGGTTATGTTAGAGGCGACAGACTTGGCAGAAAATTGGGATGAGTAGCTTAATAATGCTGTTGCATTAAAAACTCCACTAATAATTCTAGCTTTTTCGGAAATATATAATTGATTACTTGTAAGAAAAATAAAATAATTCAGCGAACGTTACCGCAGAAAAAAAGTTATTGAAGCGTTAAAAAGTTACAATAAAATGTAATTTGTTACAAGTAATTACTTACCTTAACTCGTTACGTACAAGTCTGCCAATAGCACATCCCAACAAGGCAGCGTACAGGAGTCTTTCTTGCAAACGTGTATATATATACTCGCTTCACGTGGGTAATTTCGAATGCCACGACGCAGAGCCAAAAGCAGGTGTTGCGATGAAGGTGATACGTTGGCACGTCACCAGCAAATCCTCGTTGAACGCGGCACATGTGTTAATAATCAGTCCATTGATCAACTCGCTCTTGGCTAAGTAGCACCTGCTTTCCCCGCGTGAGGCACGTGTAGTAAACTTCCACACGATGTTGCCATCGTTGGGTTCCGTGGCCGCTCTGAAATGCAAGCGCGTCACGCAAACAACCGTAGGTATCTTGCACAGATGTCCTCCAACCCTATATAAAGTCCAACGTTAGAAAGACGGCACCCACTTCATACCTGAGTTGTGAGCCGGAATCAATGGGATTCGAGTTCGTAGATATCGTGTCGAAACGATAGGACAGAATCAGCGGCCTGGAAGCCCGCCAAACGAATTTTTCGATTAATTCCAGAAGATTCGCTGTACAAAGGGCAGCGATGGCTGTGCTTGATTACCATGGTAATTGAGAGTATTACTTCACTTCACCCCCCCCCCCCCCCCTCGTTTCTTCCCGTTTCGCTCTCTGCACCCCTCTCTCTCTTTCTCGACATTCTTCATTTTAGATTTAGCTTGGCATTCTTGGTTTTCTCAGACCATCCGGCAGCACGCCGGTTTCTTCAAGTCCTCCGCGACGGGCGTCCAAGACTAAACCCCCAAAATGTACGGCACGGCGTTCGGCAACGCCACATCGGACCTCTTTCCCCGACGCGACCCACGAGTCATCAGCTGGTTCTTCGCGGGAAACAAGTGGTTCCTGATCACCCTCCTCTCCGGCTACGTGTACGTGGTCAAGGGCGCAGGACCGCGGTTCATGAAGAACCGTCCACCGTACGACAACCTCAAACCGGTCATCATCCTCTACAACCTGGCCATGGTGTTCCTCAACATGTACTTCGTCAAGAACTTCCTGACGAGGTCCTATGTCGGCGGTGGATACAACTACGTATGTCAGGGGATCGACTTCGACGCGGACGACCAAGTGACCAAAGAGTTCCTCGTGCTCGTCTGGTGGTACTTCTGGGTGAGAGTGGCCGACTACCTGGACACCATCTTCTTCGTGCTCCGCAAGAAGGACTCCCACGTGTCCTTCCTCCACGTCGTCCATCACATCATAGTGGTCTTCAACGGCTGGTACGGTTTCACGTACGGTGCCGACGGCCAGGCCGCCATGGGCATCATCCTCAACAGCTTCGTCCACGTCGTCATGTACTCTTACTACTTCCTGTCCCTTCTGGGCCCGGCGGTCCGCCCGTACCTCTGGTGGAAGCGCTACCTCACCCAGTTGCAGCTCGTGCAGTTCGTCATAATGACCGTTCACATTATGATCCCACTCTTCGTCGACTGCGGCTATCCGAAGGCCCACTCGGCGATTGCGGCCAGTGAAACGGTGTTCTTCATCATCATGTTTCTGCGCTTTTACGTTAAGGCCTACAGTGGCAGGAAAAACTTTGGTCAACGACACGAAGCAAAGAACAAGGTTCAGTGAGTTCCTCCGCATTCCAATTGTGGCCAAGGTCAACAAATTCCGCCCGGTGTGCGAAGTACAAAGAAAACTGACAAAATGGGAGTGCAGCCAACACTGTGGTTTTCAGCTGATGCATGTGTTTGAGTGAACAGAAGCAGTGTACAATATTGCTCAGCTTTAAGTGAGGATGCCAGATCCCCAGTCGAAACATGTGTAAACGGGGACCGAACTTAAGCAAGGCGAGTGATGCAAGGTACTCTTGGAACGTCTTCGGATTTTTGTAGAAACTGTGAAAAAGATTATGCGCCCAGAATTTAAATGCAGTGAGTCTGATTCCGCAGCGGTATGTTTGAAACTATACTGGGCGAAAATTTTAGCACGGTCCAAGGAAATTATGGACTCACCGAGGATGCCGGGAGGGAGATAGTGACACCGGCGTCACCTCCTTTCTTTCCTTTCTTTTTTTTCTTTTAAATATCAAATTTTAATTATTTAGCTTTCTTTTTTCAAGGACATGTACAGTTGGGAGCAAAAGTTTGCGGGGCACGGGAGCGCTTGCCGAAATACACCGCCGCGACGTGCAACGGCGAGCCACCGCATTAAAAAACCGCGCTTTGCGCATGCGCGCCCTTCGTGCTAGCAGTCATGTCCCTTTCGCTCGTTTCTGTCCGACTCACTCCTGATAACCGGAGTCGGCGCCAGGGGCGCAAGTTGCCGTTTCGCTGGCTGTCATGCCTTGCGACCCCTTCAGCTGCCTCGGCAGCCGCGCTGGGTGACGAAGCGCCTGGTCCCCTCCCCCCACGCGAGCTCCGTCACAAAGCGCGGCGGCTGAGGCGGCTGAAGCAGACGCGCAGCATGACAGCCAGCAAGCGCTGGCTCGCGCCCCTGGCGCCGACTTCTGTTATCAGGAGTGCGTCAGAAAGAAACGAGCGAGAGAGACATGATAGCAAGCTCAAAAGGCGCGCATGCGCAAAGCGCGGCTCCTTAGGGCGGCGGCGCGTCGTCGGACGGCGCGGCGATGCATTTCGGCACGCGCTCCCGTGCCCCGCAAACTTTTGCTCCCGACTGTACAAATAATGTATTTGAATAATTTCTAACCGGGTATTCAGCCCTATTTTACCGGCGTCAGTCGTGATCGGGAGGAATTACAGATGCTGCCGGACTGCCTTTCCCGGAGAGTCGTGGATGAGAAGTGCCTTCCCTAAATGTAGCGGAGTGGTGATCTCAAGTGAACGTCACGGACGCAACACCGCGACGTCACAACGCGTGATACCATTACGTCACACGACACTGTGACATCACGTGACACTGTGTGTTGCGTGATCACGCGTACATAGTGCTCCGCCTCAAACGCAAACTTTCTGCCTTTGATGACACTTCGTCGACGAAACGCAACGAGCACGTGCAGGAAGCGGACCTTCCACTGCATTCTCAAACCGCGTCACACTGCTCACATGTCATAAAAAAAAAAACGTTTTTGCGGACGCTGTTTTTGGCCACAAAAACTGTTCTCTCTATGAAGCAAGCATGCATCGAACATGGGTGAACATGATGGCAGATGTTTCCGTCGTCATACTGCAGACCGCGTATTTTGCATGATGTATGCGAGCAGTGGGATTGTGAATTTGCGGCTATAGCCTGCCACGGACAGTCAGTGTGCAGCACCTCGGCATTTTCCGCATTTTATTCGCAGAACAAGGCGTGGACCCACAGCGTTTAAGCAATTTCGTTGCTTTGACCCAAACTATAGGGCTTTGGTTGCGTCACGACTTCAAAACGCCAGAGGGGCAAATCAGAAGGGACTTGTAGAAAGTTGGACGGCATATATAAAAGCCGTGCACATTCGCCCAGCTCAACGAATGCTTAGCACGCTTCGAAGCAGGCAACATCAGCCGGGTTTGTACGGTTGGCATTGAGAGGGCTCTCTTTATGACCGTCCGCCCACACCACGAGTCATACATGGCTTTCTTACAGAAGGCTGCGGGCCCTTCCTTAAAAGGTTTCTTTTTCCCCGACTTTGAAGCTTTTTATGGAAACGATTCACGCACTCTTCCTGTTTCTATACCGCAAATAGACATAAGGTCCGTCCACAGAACGATTATTCATCGTCGCGGGAGCAATATTTAGATAAGAAACGAGCAGGCATTGCGACCGACCATTTCAAAAGACGGTTTTCACCACTGAAGATCCACGACAGCTACAATAAAAGCGAACCAATAAAACGAAGAATGAAGAACGAAAGACTAAAAACGCAGGCAAGTTGGTGAATTGTTTTTATTATATCGCCCTAGACAAAATAAAAGATAACAAAATTAAAAATAAAAGGGACACGCACACATGCACACGCAAGTACACACACACACACCCACACACACACACACACCGTCTCAACGTTGTGACGATTATGTGCATATCAGTTGAACGGTGTGTGTGCGCCCATGTTTTTTTTTTTTATTTTTGTTCTCACGTTGAAGTAGGAAACAAAGAATGCGGCTTTGTATTTGTTCTCGGTTGTAACGACACAACGTCTACCCTGACGTAAGCGTACGAGATTTCGTTCATTGGATAAACTTTCACTTTTGTTTTCTCTTTCTAGAGTTACAACTGTCAATCGCTTACATCGTGTGTGTATCAGGGACCCGCGAAGCGGTATATAAAAACCGATTTAGCTAACCGTACTTCCCCACACTTAAATATGTAAAAAAAAAAAAAAACATTTTTAAATGTTTATGTTTACGTATCCTACGAACAAGCGACGCGTTGAAGTAATATCTGAGCGAGCAGCGAGCAAAGGTATCCAGGTACTCTATTTTGAATCGCGGGTACTACGTGACTGTTACGGAGTACACCAGATCGATTTGACCCTCGCTGAGCGCGACATCGAACCGGTTTAGGCGAATTTGTTCCGCAATCTTTAATGGCTCCCGCGAAATCGCCGCAAGAGCTTATAAAACATTCAACAAACGGCCCTGAGCTTCGTTCGAGGTGCACATCACGAAGGCGAGTTTGATCGCCTGAGCGAATGATTAAAGAAAAATCCCACGCCGGAGAAAGTCCACCACCCGTTTGTGTTAGCGACCGCAGCAACGAGGTTTCGTGCGTATACCCTTTTTCCAGGAAAGATATCGATGTTTTCGACCGTACGGAGGTTTGAATTCGAAAAGTTCGCAACTTTAAAACACCGTGGAGTTTCGAATTCAAAAAGTTCGAAGCTTTCATGCTTTCTAAATGTTCGGGTTCGATTATTTCGAAACATTTTTTTACTTGGGCTGTGTTCCAAATTTTACCCAAATAAATCCGAGTTACTCCGGCGTTTCGTGTCACGTGACAGCACAGATTGAAAAACGCTGGACACGGGTAGGTTTTAGAACGCCAAGATACAAAACCCTTACCCTGGAGTAGGATCGAGTACATTTTAGAACTCGCCCTTGAGGTTCGAGAAATTCGAAGATTTCGAACTTTCCTAACTTGAAACTCGAGGGATTCGAAAGTTTTGAATTCCTTGGGATCTAAAGTTAGAAAAATCGAAGATTTCGAATTTCTTTGAATCTGAAGTTTGACAAATTCGAACGTTTCAATTTTTTATAGACATAAAGTTTGACAAATTTGAAGATTTCGAATTTTTTTCTACATAAGGTCGAAGAGTTCGATTTTCTTTTAAGGCAAAATTCGAAAAAAATAAACATTGAAGGTTTCGAATTTCTTTCAAGTCCAAGTGCGCCAAGTTCGAAGTCCGGTTTTCATGTTCCTCCACAGTTTTAGTTTCAAATAACGTTTTCACGCCTCACTGGTTTTCACGAAATCAGGTTTAGAAAAGTCGGGGTGTGATATTTAGTCTTCGCGAAGTTGCTCAGGCAATTTCGGTAAATGAGACGACGAGTGTCCCGGATGTGCTGGAATATTTGCCAGTGCAGAGTGACGTGTGACCATGGATCAGTAATTGTGACCGCCAGCCCGGGGGGGGGGGGGGGGGGGGGGGGGAGGGGGGGGGGTTTAACCTGCATCACGCAGTATTGATCACACGAACGCACTGTTTAACGATACTCATCCAGTTCGAAACGGCCAGGGGCAGGCAGGTGGTTGAGGCTCAGAAAGACCTTGAAGCTATCTGGAAAACTGCCTCCTTCCCCCTTGCACGCTGGTAGTAAGTAATTCGATAGAACACCGCCCCAGTAACGCTGGCATATAGTAAGTTTTTTGTTTGTTTTGTTACATGACGCAAAATTCTGAGACTGGGAATGAAATTTGAAAGAAAAAGTGTAAGAAGACGGAAAAAAAGGGACAGGACAACGTCTCAAACCCAGCTCAGGACAACGTCTCAAACTCAACTCAGCTGAAATCTCAGCTCAGCACAACGTCTCAAGCGGAACTGAGCTAAGTTTAAGACGTTGTCCTGCCCGCTTTTTTCTGTCTAACACTTTTTCTTTCAAATTTCATTCCCTGCAGTCTCAGGATTTCGCATCATGATCAACATACACCAGCTCGCCTGCACCTTGGCAATTTTCTTAGTTTGTAATTGCTTTGGAGGTTTATTTTCCGGGACGGAAGAAACGCCGAGCAAAAGGCACAGAAGCCGACACAACAAGAGGTCGAGGAGCATTCTACCACACCAGTGGCGTTGGAAGAGGAAAAACAAGGGGGGGGGGGGGGGGGCTCTAGCTCTCTCTCCCCCCCCCCCCCCAATTATTTCGGACTGTTAAAGGAGCTGTACAACAATTTCAGGGCTTTGCTTAAATAATTGTGGAAGTTGATGCCTGACACTTCTGCAGTGAACTACAGAAAACAGATTTTGCCTGGATACCCTAGTTTTTACTTAAAAAAATGAAAAAGATCCAGGTTTTTGCCGCCTCTCAACTCGTGCATCGTCTTCCGGGTCACGTGCACAGTGACGTCACTAGAGTAGGCGCGGAGTTCCGGAAAAGTTCTCTCTTTAGAGCCATCAGCGAGCAGCGAGAACTCATCCGCTGCCGACCGCGTGACCACCCGTCCTTGCCAGTGTGGCGCTGTCCCCCTCCCCCTCC